TATTTCGTTATATTATATGTATGATCCGGCTCGAAGGACCATTTTCCATTTTATACCGAAAGTATTAATAGATACTAATAAATAAATAAACTTTTTATTTAAATCGATGTTTAAACTGCTCAGATTTGTTATTATTTCACAATGCTCGTCCGATGTCCAACATAACTTAGCTTTATAATGTATCGCCACCTGTTGGTGTGGAGGCTCGCTAGCTAACGTTTGGAATATCACTGTTGTAATTCGTCGTACTGCTGTGGGAACATGCCTTATACGCTAATTTGTTATCTGTGTGTTGTATAAATAAAGTCTAAATTAGGTATTTAGTTAAGTCTAGGGATGCGTAGTCATTAAGTTTTGCGCTGAAAGAATTTGTCAGTTAACGGTTTGTAAGTACAAACCTTTAATAAATTTTGTATTTACGGTAATTATTTTTGTTACGTTTGAATAAGTGATTAGGGTTGCCAACTTATTTTACGTAACGTAAACGTATAAACTGGTTTGGATAGAAAAAAAAAGTATTTTTCTAATGTTATGTTACTATTGCTTTAAAAACGTATTTTTGTGTGCTTCTAACACTAGAGCTGTGACAAATTTCACAACTCACAATTGACATCTAACATTTTGTTCGGTAATTGTAAATCGTTAAGTACCTATAATGATTATTTTGATTTACGCATCACAGTCAAATTTGAAAATAAAGTAATTTTGCACACTTTGTATTTAAAAGTATAATTACTAAAAATAAAATAGGTTACGTTATTATAAATTATGGTTGGCAACCCTACCCGTGATCACACATCCCTACAGCGTCACATTACAGGAGTGCGTTCCCAGACTTAGATAATACCTATTTAATATATGAAAATACCAAAATTTGTGTATAAATTGTACTCGATTCTGTATTTGCGACTGTAACGTTATAGTAGACCGTTTTGTGTAAAGTATTTTGTACGAGTAATAAACAACTGCCGACATTCCATAGTTTAAGTACAGTCAGACAACATACGTATTGTGAAAATAAAGCTACATTTATTTTGAAAATATAAATCTTATTTTATTTGTACCTTACACTATCTTACAATAAATCAATATAAATTCTCAAATATTAAATTATACATCAGACTCATGTTGGCAAGCTCATACATAGGCACGTCTCGACATGTCCCAGTGTACAACAGAGTGGTGTCACGTGATCGAGCCTATGTATGTAACATACAGTTATAACTATGGCCACCCGCGAATTGTACAACCTTTGAGCACGAGAATTTTGTCGGCTATTCAACATTTAAATCTACAATCATTCATATATTAAATACAAATCTGATAATAATATTGCCAGTTACAAATAATTTTATACTGTCTCTTCTATTTGTATTTTATTAAAATGTAAACTTTTTAGTTAATTATTAATTTACTAATGTTTATATTAATGGAGTTCAGATTTATTCTTACATAATATTATAAATGTGTAACTCTGTCTGTCTTGCTTTCATGCCAAAACTACTAAACCGATTTAAATGAAATCTGGTACACAGATAGTCTAGATCCTGAATTTGATATGCCGTGATAAATGAGGTAAGAAATACAAATAATTGGACGATAACAAATTAAAAAAAAGGCCAATTCATTATTTTGTTACGACCAGTACATATAAGGTCAAATTGAACTAAATTTTATGTACCAATACCAAATCATCGTGGAGTGTAAAGTTTTGCATTTTCAGCATTGGGAGTTTGATGCAGTATATATGTACATTAGTATTGTATCCGAATATTAGTATTTTAAATTTTAGAATAGGTAAGTAAAGTAAGATTATTAATTCCAGTCAGTAAAATGACATTTCCAGTGTTGCAGGTTTTTAGTCCCAAATAAATAGTGATGTGGTAGAATCGAGTTTTTACAATTAAAAGTTAGTCGAGATTACATTTTTTTTATTCAATATCAAATTGCCTTTATATAAATAAAAATTCTAGAATTAATTCCTCTGAATCTCTTTTTACATTTTTTCCCAGCTTTTGTAATAATGTTATAGTGAGAAATTTTAATATGCTGGTAAGGTTCATATTTCTAAAATTGTATTGTTTAATACGATATTTATTAAATATTTAAAATAAAAAAAAGTCTTCGATACCTAATAAAATAAAGCATGACTAAATATCTAAGTCTATTGATTGCTGCACATCACTATTGTAGCGGGTCACCCTTTTTTATCAGTGATAGTTGCACTTGTCATTTTACTGACTGGAATTAATAATCATACTTTAGTCATAAGTATGGCAGGAAGATATGAAAATACTAAAGTAACAAACCATATGTGCTGTAGCATGGCGCGGGTGACAGTTTCGTTAACGTTTCGTTTCACTCATAAAAGTTGCCGCGACTTACAAATTACGACTTAGTATTTCAGCTGTACCACATTCATAATATATTAAATCAGTAATAACTGTATTAACTTAAATGTAGCAATTGTTAAATGTAAAATTAGTAACTGTCACCCGCACCATGATAGGAGTTGTTCAGGTATTGCGAAGCAGTTTTATTATAATTATTTAACCCCCATTTTGTTAGCAAATGTAAGCGAAGCTCTTACCCCCTCCCCCCAAGATAAAAACGAGAAAAAAGAAACATTTTTCAATTAATGTATTGTTTTTTTAGCAAAGACAATATGAGGGTTGCCATTCGTCTAAAAATGTAAATAACTATTGATGACGTAATCATCATCTACACTCCCCCACGGGGGGTGGGGGAGTCGTCCAAAATAAGCAAAGTAAAGACCCCCCGACCCCCGTGGGGGAGTGTAGATGATGATTACGTCATCAATAGTTATTTACATTTTTAGACGAATGTAGAGCTTACTTAATACTTGAACGGCCCCTTACAACGTACACAGTATAATGGCATACAAGATAATTTTAAACTATTAGAATTTCTATTTTATTCTGTATTTAATAAGGCTGCACCAGTTCTATCCGACACGTCAGTTTCTATATCTACATTTATACCAAAAAAAACTCTGAATATAACACGCTTAACTCTAAACGTACGTGTGACATGAGAAATGGTAACAGATAGGAGATGTAAAAACGTGTTCACGGCGCACTGTGGAGAACACAATGAAGTGATATCGAAAGTGAAACTGATATGTAATTGTCGATCGATCTCTTGATCAATTACCATACAATGTAGTCATAAACGGTTTCATTTCATAAAAACATACTAATTGCTATTGTAATGTGACAGTACAATTCGTTAGTTAACACAAAAAACGGAGTCCATACTTAATTTTTATAGAAAACGATACAGCCTGTATCATCATTGTGGTATGATAATAATAATAATAATAATCTCAAGGACAATTCACACAGCGCCATCTAGACCCAAGTTAAGCTAGCTAGAGCTTGTGTTATGGTACTAGATAACTGATACAAATACATAGATATATTTCTTTTTGTAAATACATACATATTATACATAGAAAACACCCAGATCGATACAAACAATCATACTCGTGAATACAAATGTTTGTGCCGTGCGAGGAATCGAACCCGCGGCCATCGATCGTAAAGCGATGTGCTTGACCGCTAGACCGAGGTTGTCGTAATCGATTTAAAAAGAAGTAACCAATTCATTTTTGTATACAAATATACAAAATAATCATTGAATAAGACAATTTGACAATAAACAAACTGGTAGATACGGTTCTATTTATATATTTCTTCAATTGATTACACATACTTCTAATGAAGAGTGAGAGTGAGTTAAATGGATCAACCATTTAACTCACTGTCACTCTTAATTTTATATATTTAAAGTCAATAATATCATCATCAGGAATGCTACTTCTTTTTTTTCAAGTGGCTCCACTGAAAATCAGCGCTGCAGTGACACGCTGCGGCACCAGCTGAGTGGAGGCACGTTCAGCTCATAGAGAAATATTTTTTAAGTTTTGTATATATATACTCTGTATTATGCTGAATAAATGATTATTTATTATTAGGATCTGTATACCGAACTGGACGGAAGGGAAAAAAAATAAAATTAGAATGTAAAAATTTGACGTTCATAAGCGGCTAAAATGTCCTACATGAATAAATGATTTTTGAATTTGAATTTGAATTTATTTTGCAAACTTTACAAAAATTCTCATCTCCTCTCTTAAGAAGAGGAGATGGCAATTATTATTATTTCCCTTTCTTTCTCTTCCTTTACAAGTTTAAAAGAAGGTAATACTCACCTACACGGGCCTTAGCCAAGTGTGGGAGAGGTTGTGGTGGGTGATGATATTGTTGAGGAGGTTAAGAATTTTCGAGTTATGCGATAGGTATTTAGTATTGTGGCTTTTTGTAGGAGATATGTTTTGGAAGAGTGAATATTTATAAAAGATTAAAATCTCATTTCCTCTCCATAAATTATATGTAATAGTTCTTTATATATATATGTATTTGTTTAGGTATTTCTATATGGTTATTTTATTATATTTATAATATAATATTTATTTATAACATGTATTGTATTAATGTTTTCTATTATTATTACTATTATTGTATTTTATATATTTGTGTGCCTGTATGATTTTTTTTTAAGTAGTAGTAGTAGTACATTGGAATATCTATGGTTATGTATCTCAAAAACGCAAGCACTACCGTTGCCCGCTAACTACCACCTCTGTCACACTGTTAACTGGCTGGAAGAGATCTCTTGCAGAGATAAACCCACCCTTGCTCACAATTTAGTATAACTGTCTTTGTATATTAATGTAATAAGTGCAATAAGCAATAAAGTATATATTTAATGTTTGCAGACTATTTTGAACTGTTTTGGGTACTATTATTAGATTAGTGAGAAATATCCTCAAAGTAAGATACACGAGTGCCGTATATTTCATACCTTCTATATACCAATGATAATATGGGCTTCAATATTATAGTAAGCTGATTACAAGCAATGTACATGGAACGAGGAGTCTTATCACTGTCAATTGATATTACATTTATGTATAACATGCTATAATTATAATGGTAATACTGCAACTTGTTTGTTGAATAATGTTATATAATTAGCTTATCTATTTAGCTAAGTAATACTATAAGGGCGCGCCCCCTCGAGGTCGCTCTTCGTGTGTTCATCACGGCGAATTTACATGTTATATGGCCGTGAGAACATCGTATAAATACTTATAGTTAATTATTTACAGTACAGTAGGCACCGATGTAGACTTTTCTTATTATTATAAACCTTATTAAATCATTCATTTTTATATGTATTTAAAGATTTATTATCTGATTATTGTAATTCCACCTTTAGTCTATGTGTGAGAATTGATCATCTCAGCCTGGATGACGTCCACTGCTGGGCAAAGGCGATCGTGACCAGATCGTCGGTCCACCTGCTGGAGGCCTTCCCACGCTGCGTCTTCCGGTCCGTGGTCGCCACTCAAAGACTTTACTGCCCCAACGGCCATCTGTCCTACGAGCTATGTGCCCTGCCCATTGCCACTTTAGTTTCGCAATTCTTCGGGCTATGTCGGTCACTCTGGTTCTGATGCGGATCTCCTCATTTCTGATTTACGCAGAGAAACTCCGAGCTTAGCCCTCTCCATTGCTCTCTGAGTGACTTTGAGCTTGTTCATGAGGCCCATAGTTAGCGACCACGTCTCTGTGCCGTAAGTAATCACTGTCAACACACATTGGTCGTATTGGTATGAGAATTAGTTTCACTAAAATCTACTAATTACTATTTTGTAGTAAATCATACTAAAATGACAGCTAATGTCATCCGCACCGTACTAGAACGTGCGGAATATAATCACTTGGTTTAATTTTTTTTTTTATTAAATTTCGATATTTCTTTTTAACAACTTGTAAAGTTCATAGTTTGTCATGATACAAGTTTTTATTATGACGTATAGCATCGTGTGGACGGAGACGTGTGGCGTGTGGTTTCGGTGTTAAGCGAGAGCGGGGGCGGGAGCGGGCGCGGCGGCGGCGGAGGGCGCGGGCGGAGGCGGCGGCGGGTGCGGGCGGGGCCCCAGTGCGCGCGGGGGGCCCAGCACGCTGTGTGGCACGCACACACGCCGTCCACACACCTATAGTAGACAATAATATTATTAATGAAAAATCCTAGATTGTAAGCTCTAAAATTGCTATGTATCTAGTAATCGATAATGATATATGTGTAGCGAACTCCTTAATAGGTTTTTATACTATTTTTAAATTTTCTAATAATATTCTTAGACATATTCTTTATTGTTACTTTCTATTATATATCACTGTCATACTAGTCGCATTTATTTAATCTCCTTATTTTCCTGATTAAAACCCTCAGCACCTCTCACTCATCAGACACATTTGATACCTCCGCTTCAATATGTACTTGTTAGAGAACTGACTTTTTAAAACTTGGTTAAATTGTTAAGATACCCAAATATATATGTATAAAAAAAAGATATGACTGTATTGTGCAGGAATTGAACTGGCGATGGGATGGAAAGGGGATTGTTAGTAATGTGGATTGATGATCTTATTGCTAACAATGTATCATGTCAGCTGACCTCCACGCGGTTCCACTTTTAAATCATCGTGATAAATTGGTGAATTTGTCAATATGGGCTACCTCACGTGACCTCATGCTCATCTTATCATCCTCTACTGGCGTCCCGCCAGCGTAAACCGTTAGCGCAGGCGGGTGCACCATTCCATTATCATCTAAAAAAAACTGGCTACGGGAGGCGAGAAAGGGGATTGTTAGTCATGTAGATTGATGATCTTATTACTAACAATGTACCATTTCAGGCTGAAATCCACGCGATTTCCCCTGGAAACCTGATAAATTAGTCACTATTGGCTAATTGATCTGACCTCATGTTCACCGTTAGCACAGGCGGGTGGACTATTCCATTATCATCTAAAAAAACTGGCTACGGGAGGAGAGAAAGGGGATCATTAGTAATGCGGATTGATGATCTTATTGCAAGCAATGTCAGGTTGACCTCCACGCCATTTCTCCTGGAAATCATCATGATAAATTCTTGGTGACTGGCCTGACCTCGTGCTCATCCTATCATCCTCCACTGTTAACGCAGGCGGGTGCACCATTCCACTATCGTCTTTAAAAAAACTAGCGATGGGATAGTGGTGGACGTACTTGGAGAGCGACGAGTCCGCGGCGGGCGGCGCCGAGTGCGAGCACGGTGTCCCCGGCGCGCAGCCGCAGCGCGTCGGCGGCCCAGTCGGCGGCCACGGTGCGCTGCTGCGGGTAGCCGAGCTTCACGCCGCCGGCCACAGTGTACGCGCGCGGCGGAGGCAGCGGCGGCGGCCGCTCCTGTACCACACACTCCTTATACCTTCATCTTTTGCCTACACTTGGAATATATTTTTTTCAAACGAGGGGAAGTGGTAAGCCTACGTTTCTATTTTTTTCAAAGCAAGAGAAGTGGTATACCTTCTCTGGTTGTTTGGGAAACTACTCTGCTACCAAAATGTTAGGGGAGCGTCAGTTTCGTACCTGTATGGTTCTGCGGATTTCTTGGGCTTCAGGGTCTCGAAGGTATCTTCGCTAGCTTTCCAGTTTCACAGTAGGTTTCACAGTTCTAATTTATTTTAATTCACAACAAATGCGTGCGCGCGTGAAGGCCGCTGTACGGTCAGTTTGTTACTAGTTAATGAAGGGGAACGAAAGGCGCGGGAACAGAAAACTAACGGACTCTAATATAATAATCTGTGCTTACGATGTTACAGGGTAGATTTTGAACACTGGTAATGTGTCTGTAACACTCGCCAGTCTTCCATTAGTTTAATTCTCCACATAACTTAAATTTTGGTTCAGTGTAAAGACAGCCCACGATATGACTCCGCGTCGACACGGCGTGTAGTGCTTGCTCTTCTTGAGAACTAAGTTTCAATATCGTCATGCCCTTTAATTTTCTTGCCACATATAAATTTCAACAACCTTGAGTGATGTAGAAAACTCAGAATTTCTCTAAAGGACATTATCCATGAACCATGATTCAATATTGTGAAGATCGATGTAGGAGCAAAGAGGCTGTTATAGCTCTCAAAATCTACCAGCTGAAATAGCAGTAGGCCGGTATCATGATCAGCGAAGGTAGATGGAAAGTTTATAGAATATAGGCCAATTACGGAATGATGAGTACCTAACGTTGGTTACCTAATATGGTACTGGGGAAGACTTATTACCAATTCGTCTCGATGAGATCAATCATCATCAGATCAGAAATCATCGACCTAACATTCTAATAGACATCGGCAGAGACTGAGTAAAAAGAGCATACCAGATCAAGACCGACGAGCGAGCAGGTGCGCTTAACGAGCCCCGGGTCGCACTTGTCAGCGGGGTCCGGCGGGGGTGTGCCCGCGATGGGGGCGGGGCGGGGGCGGGCGGCGGCGGGGGGAACAGGGGCGGGCGGGCCGGGGGGCGCGGGGGCTGCGAGGGGAGCCCGCCCTCGGTGCCGCCGCCACGCCGCCTGGATGCACTCCGCTGCAGCCTGGCGTCGTGCGCGCCGCATGCGCTCCAGCACCTGTGTGGTCATTATGTTCTTATTACCTATCACCCTATGATCTAGTACTTACTACTACATACTACCACACTAGAGCGTCCCTCAAAAATTGCAATTGTCACAAGCCACAAACCATTTCCTTTTAGCAGTTGTTTTTTTTATACTGCGTTTCGTCCCCGTGTTACCTAGTACTATACACTACCACACATTCCGAGCATTCCACAAAAACTGCAATCGTCACAACGCACCCATTCGTTTTACCAGTTTTTTTAATTCTGCAATTGTGGCAACCAATCATACGGCTCATGTACGAATAGAATAGAATAGAAGATCATTTATTCAAATAAACTTAATTTAAGCACTTTTGAATAGTCAACAATTTTTTTTAAATCTACCGCTTATTCGGAAAACTGTCTCATGATAAGAAGAATAAGCAAGAAACTTGTGTGTTGCTCTTTTAAACAATCCTTGTAAGTTCATATTTTACAAGTCGAAACGTGTGAATACAAACTACCAACCAGCACTAATTTATTTAGGCTCAAATATAAAAACACCATAAAATTGGCACAATGAGTATTCTGTCACTCACATGTCATGGTGATGGCAGGTAGTCTTTCGTGAACATTATACGGTGATTTTTCCAGCTATATAATCCATCCATATTTGGCTCCAAGATTTCAGGGTATACTTTAGTTTTTCGACATCTATAGTTTCGCTCACACCTTTCATAGCATATAAATTATACTGAAGATATCCTAATGTGGAAGGGTAGTCACCTGGCGCATGCCCTCGCTGAGGAAGACGTGTCGTTTCCCGAGCGCCCAGCGCACGGCGGCGGGGGAGGCGGGCGCGGGGGGCGCGGCCGCCGCCGCCACCGCCCGCAGCACCGCCGCACACCCCGCGCCCGCCTCCTGCTCCGCGCCAGCACTCACGCCAGTACTCGCGCCAGTACTCGCGCCAGTGCTCGTTCCTCGTCGCCACAGCGCGCGGTAGCGGCTGCTGAACGCGCGGAACCGCATGCGATGCGGGTATCCGCTGGCCATTAATTGAGCTGTCTCTAGAATCTGGAGCGCCCGGACCTGATATAAAGGAGTGACGATGTGATTAGATCAATTGCCAGTCAGCAAAATTAATATTTGTCCGGAACACCGTACTACAATAATCATATATAAATTATCACTTACGCAGCATCTTTCATTTTATTATGTACTAAGCTGTATCCGCGACTTCGTCCGAGTGGAATTTAACTTTATTTTTCTAAAATAAAAGTAGCCTAAGTTATTCCATCATTACATCAGCTACCTGCCAAAAAACGTCCCGTCAAAATCGGTCCAGCCATTTCAGAGATTAGCCGGAACAAACAGACAGACAGATAGACAAAAATTGTAAAGAAAGTTACTTTCGTGTATGTACCGTATTTATATTCATATGCATGTAGTAAATAACGGTTATTTCTATATTACAAACAGACACTACAATTTTATATATATGTATAGATTAAATAGTCAGATACCTGTTTCGCGACCGTGGTCCGCTCGAAGAGCATGGGCGTCTCTGTGGCGTTGGCACGCAGGCAACGCACGAAGTGCGGGCGTGCGTGCACGAGCGTCCTCAGCAGGTTGTCGAGGCGCGTGTGGAAGTCCTGCGTGAGCGTGGACTCCGGCGCCGCCGCCACCGTCGGGGACGCGCGGAACTGCGCCCCCGCCGCCCCGCCCTGCGCCGCCACCACCTGCACGCCCACGTCTTCAATGATCACTCACGATTAATAGCTAAATGGGTTTTTCTAGCTATTACCATAAATGAAAGCGTATTTTATATTCGTAATACTTTATTGGTACGTCTTAACAGAACCGTGGCCAAGACGAGAATGAATAATTATCTCTAAATATCGTTTACAGATCAGTTTTGTACCCTCACTATTTTAATAAAAATTATGAAACTAACTCGGTCGATATCAATAACATTACTTCTATTTGTAATTAAACAATTCATTATTAATCAGCATATATGATCATGTCAATATTCCATTATTATAAATATATCTGCTATACAACTCTGTATATTCATTGTAACTATTATAATCTAACACAATAATCCGGTCCGAAGGACCAAAAGAAAACAAGTTTCAACCGGTCTCTTGAATGTAATTAGGATTTTTTTTGTGGATGACAATAAAATGATTCTCCCGCCTGCTCTAACGGTTTACGCTGCCGGGGCACCAGTGGGGGGTGATAGAATGAGCATGAGGTCAGCTTAGTTATCCCATCATGATATATTCACCATGAATTTATATAGGATAGTTTCCAAGGGGAACCGCGTGGAGGAACCCTCATTACCTACAATCACCTTTCCCCCCTGTAATTAGGATTATAATTATAATTAGGATTGATTGATCTGAATTGTAGGTACAGTATCTTAAAATCTTTGAAGTGGCAATGGGCAGGGCACATAGCTCGTAGGACAGATGGCCGTTGGGGCAGTAAAGTCCTCGAGTGGCGACCACGGACCGGAAGACGCAGCGTGGGAAGGCCTCCAGCAAGGTGGACCGACGATCTGGTCAAGATCGCTGGAAGGCATTGGATGCGAGCAGCGCAGGACCGATCGTCGTGGAGATCTTTGGGGGAGGCCTATGTCCAGCAGTGGACGTCTTCCGGGCTGCGATGATGATGATGATGATGATGATATCTTAATTTATAATTCATTTTCATTTAGTATTTTAATAACCAAGGCATCGGTGGTCTAGCGGTTTACCACACTGCTTTAATTACGATTGTCGCGGGTTCGATTCGCACGATACAAACATTTGTATTCATGAGTATGATTGTTGGTTACTGTGTCTTGTTTGGATGTTTTCTTTTGTATGTATAGATTTTTAAAAAACCTGTCTTAATATTCACCTGAGTCGTGTAGTACCCATAACACATACTCTGCTTACCTCTACAGACTTTTTATACTACTTATTATTGTTATCTTGCTCGTACTTTCAGCTTTTGATTTGTTCTGCTTGTATATATATATGTTACTGACGTGTATGACTATTTATGAGCGTCTGTATCCAAAATATTTCTAACTATTTGAATTGCAGCTTTTTGCTTGTTTTACTTTTCGCAAACCAATCTGTTTACTGTAAATTTAGTCATTGCGATGTGATTTATTGAACTAACTTTTTGTATATAATATTGGCTGAAAAGGTTTTAGACTTTTTGTATATATTTTGACATTCATTCAAAATATTCTTACTTCATTGCTTTTAATTTTTCTAACACGTTATCAGCACGACAACAGCAACCCATAGTGGCTTTGTCCTTGGCTGAAGCAGAGTACATGGCTGTAACAGCAGCCTCTAAAGAAGCTTGTTATCTTCGCAGCTTCATATCTGAAGTGACTGGTAATTTACAGCGCGTTACGATATTTAGTGACGGTCAGTCGCTCATACAGACAGACAGTCGTCTATAAAATTAGCGCAAAATCCAGTCCATCATAATCGAACCAAGCATATTGATACGCGATTTCATTTTATCCGAGAAAAGATAGTGGAAGAAATAATTGATGTACAGTTTGTTCCAACAGACAAAATGTAGGCAGATATGCTGACCAAACATTTATGCAATGTAAAATTTAAAAATTGTATAACTAATGTAGACATTGTATAACTTTTATTATTGTTAAAATACAATGTCTTGTTTATTGTTTATATTGCTGTTACATTGTAGATTAAGGAGGGTATGTTGATATTGGCTAGAAAGGTTTTAAACTTTTTATATATATTTTGACATTAATTAAAAAAATTCCAACAAAATGTTGGCAGATACGCTTACCAAACCTTTATGCAATGTAAAATTTAAAAACTGTATAACTAATGTAGACATTGTATAACATTTATTATTGTTAATCTACAATGTCTTGTTTATTGTTTATATTGCTGTTACATTGTAGATTAAGGAGGGTATTTTGATAATATTGGCTGGAAAGGTTTTAGACATTTTATATATATTTTGACATTAATTCAAAAAATTCCAACAAAATGTTGGCAGATACGCTTACCAAACCTTTATGCAATGTAAAATTTAAAAATTGTATAACTAATGTAGACATTGTATAACATTTATTATTGTTAATCTACAATGTCTTGTTTATTGTGATAATATTGGCTGGAAAGGTTTTAGACTTTTTATATATATTTTGACATTAATTCAAAATATTCTTAATTGCTTTCCATCATTCTAACACTTTTAAAATAATATAAATACACTGGAGAGTAGAGCTACTGTGCGTTAAAGTTAAAGAACATACTTTAAGTTCAGCGCCGAAGAGATGCGTGGCGAAGCCGAACTCGCAGGTGCGCGTGTCGAAGGCTGCGAGCAGCTCGTGCGGCACGGCGTCCCGGTTGGCCTCGAGGAAGTCCGCCGCGTCGTAGGCGACGTCGGCCGCGTAGTGACGCACGGCGAACCGCCGCGGGTGAGCCGGCCGCGCCTCCGCCAGCCGCGGGTGACCTCTGTGACAAAGAAGAAAGAAAGACAAATATTTTATTGCAGTGCAATGTAAAAAATACAATATAAACAAAAAACAAAAAAGAGCAAATAAAATGTACATATAATTAAACTTAATTTACCATAATTAAAAATAGGCATAAAATAATAATTTTTTACATCCAAAAATGCACTGAAATGGCTCCACTCAGCTTTAATGTATGTCCTAGGTGAACAGCTGGTTTTCAGTGGCATCAAAAATATATATATACAAAAGAGGGAGAGAGAGAGGGCACTATTTAAAATATTAATGATAATAGTTAAAACAAAATTACAACTAATAAATACAAACCAATTACATATAGTAGAAATAACAAAATAGAATAAAATAACATTAATAAATATAAACATTAAACATATATATACAACTACTTTGCCGTAAGATTTATAGGTTAAATAGTACATAGATAATTTTTGTATAGTTTTTTAAAGACAACACACACTTACTCCACTAGTGCTCTCAGTACAGCACTAGTACAACGTGTATATATTTAGACAAAAATGATTCCATCTTACTAATACAGTGCAACCTTAATATATCGACTTCCTCGATTTAACAGATTCTTCGCATCCATCCCCTTCAATTGGTCAAAGTTAAATATTCCTTTACATTGCGATCATTTTTTTAAGAACAACCTCTTTACAACGAATTTTTAATTATCAAGAAAATGTAAAAATTCCTCTAATTGACGAATTTTGCCATTGTATAAAGTTCTCACCAATGTACATGTATGAATCTTAATCTCACAATATGTTTCATATATTTTTACCTCATTGGAAATTCAACTAACTAAAACTCCTTAGTTTTAGTTAGTTGACTTTCCTGTATTATTGCGCAAGTTTGTGAGTTGGATGTTTTTACTCTTTTACACAAAGTACTGAACGGATTTTGATGAAACTGCACAGTAAGATACTTAGACAGCCGAATGACATATAGGCAATAATTGAAATATTTTTTGTTATTTAGACTAAATGTAATGTCAAGGAAGTGTAATACAGATGAAGTTGGGGTAGTAACCAGTAGCTTGCACTAACACTTTGCCCTCAGCTATTCTCTTCAATTATGTTTGTATATATTTGGACGACGTCCTTTAGTTGTCTCTTACAATATTTTAGATTTCTAGGTATCTTATGCGGTGTTGGTGATATATAATATGAGTATATTCTTATTTCATTATAAACACGTACACGGTAAAATGTCTGACCTGTGAGCCGTTTTGATCCTGGCGACGTACTGTTCGGGCGTGCCCTTGGCTGCGCACTCGGCGTCGAGCGCGGCCAGCAGCCCGCCGCGCAGCGACGACACCAGGTCGATGCAGGGCACGTTGTCCACGTAGTCCACCTCCAGCGCGCACGCCACGCCCTCCTCGCGGCACGACTCCGCCGACGACTTGAACACGTGCGTGTTGTAGAAGTGCTGCATCGTCTCCGCGCACAGGTTCGCGCACAGGTGCTCCAGCCGCGAGGGCGCCGCGTCCTCGAACCCGAACATGTCCAGGATGCCCACGAACCCGTCGGTGGCGTGGCGCACGGCGTCGTTGAGCGCGGCCATGGAGCGCGCGCCCGCCCGCCCCCCGCCCCCCGCGCCGCCCGCCGACGAGGCGCGCCGCGACGCCGCGTCCTGGTTGTGCACGGACTCGTTGGAGTCGGAGGAGAGCGTGCCCAGCGTGGAGCCGAGCCGCTTGAGCGAGTTGGCGCGGCGCACGATGGTGGCGACGGTGCGGCAGTAGAGCGCCTTGGCGAGCGCGTCGCGCGCGGCGGCGGCGGCGGGCGCGGTGGCGACCGCGGGGGGCTGGCCGCGCGGCGCCCGGCGGCCGCAGCGCGTGGCCAGCCCCCGCACCAGCGCGGGCGCGGGCACGCCCAGCAGCGCCGCCGCCGCCGCCAGCTCCGCCTCGCTGGCCGGCTCCGCGCCGCCCTCCGCGCTCTCCGCGAACTGCACGTTGCCCAGCAGCAGCACGGCGGCCAGCACGCGCACCACGTCCAGGAACGGTATGCCGAGGATGCCGAGGCAAGTTTTCCACGCGTGGAAACGCGCCGCGTCCTCCGGCTCCGGCCGCCGGTGGTGGGGCGACGCCAGATATCTGCATTGATGGAAATGATGCTTTAGTAAATAATTTTCATAAAGCAATAGTGTTTGAATTTTTTTATATACAAAAAGGAGACTTTATACGAAGTTGTGTTTCATGTACTTCTATTATCAACTGATTTGTAAGTTAAGATACCAGAGATAGCAGTGAATTTAAAGATATAAAACAATTTAAAGCATAACGTTACTTCTTAGGTATGATAACGCACAATACAACAATATATATATATATATATATACACAATACAATTTGTATGTGCTAAGAAAGTTTTTAAACATTTATTTATTAAAGGAAAACCAAGGCTAACATATATACATATTGAGTCAATATAAACACAGTAACACAGTAAGCCACTGACAGGCTTTCACAAATAACAACGTGTCGCGGACAAGCAGTAAAAAAACTCAACACAAAAGAAGCGTTCTGATTGGAGCGCACACCCATCCAATTTAAATTCTACAATAACAAACAGATCTAAAAAATCAATTCGATCGACGCAACGTACATTTGTTCACTCATCCTAATTTGTAATTTATAATAGTATTTACCAATTAAATTCAAGAAAATCAAGCGAATCTATCATTTATTCACCCCGTAATCTGCTGAAGCCATCAACCCCTACCATCTATCATTCGAGTCCCAACATCACCTACCACCTGAGCATTCGAGCCGCATCACCACTTACCACAACTGATTAACTCTATTAAATTCGATATCACTACATATAAAAGCAACAACACATTATAAAATTAACAGAGAATATGAAATTATGATAAGAACAAAAGTACAGTGACAAAATTTTATTATTTTGTGAAGTTCAGACAGTTCATGAACACATTCATATTTATAAAAGAAAAACTACCGTAATTCCTGGGCGGAATATCCATCGAGGTGTAGCTGCGTGCGCTCCTCCGGCGTGAGTCCAGCGAGCATCTGATAGAAGATGTGGTAGTTCCGTTCTCCGGGCGGCGGCCGGACCACGCGCGTCTGGTCCAGGAAGTAGCAGTGGATTTTTGTGCGGTACAGTGCACCGTCCGTCACTTGCACCTCTATGAAATGACCCTAAAAATAACATTTCATGCATATTCGTCTGTTAGGGAATTCACTCTTTGCTACCAAAATATTAGGGAATTTACTATGTATATATATAGGGAAAAATATGTGTGGAAATGGTTCTGCGGATTTCTTGGGCTTCACTTCAGGGTCTCGAAGATATCTTCGCTAGCTTTCCAGTTTCACAGTAGGTTTAACACAGTTCTAATTTATTTTAATTCACAACACAATGCGCGCGCGTCATGGCCGGCGTACGGTCAGTTCAGTACTAGGTAAGGGAGGAGAAGGAAACGCGCGGGAAGGAACTAACGGACTCTAATATAATAATCTGTGCTTACAATGGTACAGGGTAGATTTTGAACACGTCAGTAATCCCCTCCGAGCGATCTACCATCCAATTCAAACGGGGATCGATATTACGACGGCCTGAGCCGAGGTTCGTACCCCTAGCGGTGCCCTTAGACTACAGTCACGCGGCCTTCAGCCGCTCCATAAGTCCTTCCTTTGGTTTGAAGTACCATCTGCACTAGCCCTCTATTGTCCGGTGTAGCTATAAAGGCTAGTTGCGGCCAACAGCATTAGACTAGTACGAAAAGCGGCTCGTCTCGATCCAGTTATCCACTAGACGATGCACGGCTTTCAACGCCGCACCGCTGTGCCGGTCGGAGTGGGGGGTGTTAGGTTTATTTTCGTTACGGAATTTCTTGAATCGGTCGCCGCGCTCAAAGCCCGCGATAAAATCTGACAGACGGAGGGCGGCGTTCTGTTGGACTGCAGGTCCAACAGAACGCCGCCCTCCGTCTGTGCACAAATGCCGGACGGTACGTCCGTAATGACGTGATCGCCCGCGACCTCAAGGTCCCATCGGTGGAGCAGTTCGTCGTCCGGTTGACGGACAGCGGGCGCGAAGCGCACCTGCGCGACCTCGCCCCCCTCCACGCGCGCCCACCGGACGCCACTCGCGCGCTCCCGCGCGACCTACTCTTCACCGAGTGATCACGTCATTTACGTGACGTGGCGGCGTTAAGCCGGCTCGGCGAGCGAAAGAATGATTCCCGCCACACAACGCCCACAGGCGGCTGCTAAGGAGCAGCCGCTCTCCGGCCGGCCGGCAGGTCGGCCGGTAAAAGAACGACGCTGGGGTGGTTCACCCCAGCAGAATGCCCGGGCAAGGAGCGCAAGCTCGGGGCCCGTACCCAGCGGTCCAGTTAGGACCAACGGACGACCCGGATGATGATAAAATCTATGCAATAGCTTAAAAAAAATAGTATGTGAGATACTAACGATGCGGCTGGAGTGTGTGTTGGCGGCGGTGGCGGCCGTGCCGAGGGAGCGCAGCACGGTGAAGGCGGCCGCCAGGTGCTTGAACGCGTCGGTCTCCGGCCCGCCGCCCGCCACGTCGAACAGCCGCCGCAGCAGCACCATCGACGCATACGTCTTGCCGGACCCCGACACGCCTGCAAACATATCACATCAAAAATCATTTACTCATGAAGAACATCTTAGTTGCTTATGAACGGCTATTCTATTATTCTGTTCTATAAAAGTCAAGTTTTTTGTATGTAATTTTTTCCCTTTTTTATATTACTATGGTGGTAAACAAGCATACGGCCCATTTGATGGTAAATGGTTACCGTAGCCTATGGACGCCTGAAACACGAGGGGTGTCACGTGCGCGTTGCCGACCCTTAAGAAACATTAACATCTTGAAAAACCCCATGCTGTAGTCCCGTAAGGAAACCTCGGAAGGTAGTTCATTCCACAATCTAAGTACGCGGGAGGACGTTCCTCTGAAACCGCACTGTCCGAGACTACTTAGGTTCTAGTGTCTTCAGATTTCTTCCCTACCGTCCAGTTCTCATTATGCAACTTCTCCTACACTTCACTAAGGCTTGAGTTGGTGAGTGTTAACTTACTTTAGATCACATATTCATATTTTATTCAATAATGTAACACCCCTTGTTACACGATAACATAAAAGAAGAGAATAAGAAAAATAATAATAATAAGAACTAAGAATAAGAAACTACTACTACTAATAATAATCCTGGGTTAGTGCGACAGTAGATCGCATTACTCTAATCCAGGATTATTCACACAGCTCCACTTAGTCCCACAGCTATGTTATGGGTACAAAGTTTGCTTTATGGGTACTAGACAACTGATAGAAATGTTTAAATACATGTTTTTGTAAATACATACAAATTATTACATAGAAAACACGCAGACTGATACAAACAATCACACTATCATTGTGTGTGGCATTTAGGAAGCGATGGACTATTGCACACGTATCTAAGATAACAGCCTTTTGTAGTGGAATGTATATTCGTTCACTCAATCTCAGATCGTCTATTGCTTTGTGTAGTGTTTTAGGAATGTTACTATATTATTTTAACTGTATTTTGGTGCCACATTTGCTTTATTTCTTCTGCTAACGGAATATATTTTTGTAATTTTTCTACATGTTTTTATTTTACATTATTTGTATTGGGTATTGCTATATCTATTAAATATGTTATTTCATCTGCTTTTAGTTTAATGTGATATCAGGTCTATTGTTATATATTGTTTTGTCTGTGATAATCGATCTGTCCCAGTATAATTTAACAGTTTCATTATCCAATATATTTTTTGGTTTATGTTTGTAGTATGGTTCTATCTTATCTAATCTATTATTATTATTTATTTTTTTCTCACACTATATTATTTATTATTTATGGTTTTCTCCACACTTACGGGCCGAAACCAAGTACATAAGTGCAGAGTGTGTATGTGTGTGTGCGCGTGTGTGTATGTGTGAGTGTGTGTGTACTTATTGTGTGCCTGGTGTGACTGGTGTTATATCCTTTTCATCGATTTCGAGAAATTTTCGGACTGTACGACAGGTATTTAAGATGGCAGCCTTTTGAAGGGTGATGTAAAGTGTTTTTTGTATATCTAATTGTTTCAGGCTATGATGTAGGTGTTTGGGTATGATACCTGTAGATGAGAGGACTATGGGTATTATATAAACTTTTTCCTGTTTCCAAATTCTTATTACTTCTTCCTTTAGCTCTGCATATTTGTTTATTTTTTCAGCAATTGTCTTCTGGAGATTGTGGGTATTAGGAACTGCAATATCTATCAGGTAGGTTTTTTTATTTACTTTATCTTGTAGTATTATGTCTGGTGTGTTGTAATGAATAGTCTTATCAGTAAGTACAGCACGATCGTTATATAGTTTATTTTATTATTATTATATATCCATTCGCTCTTCATTCTTGTTTCAATTCATGCATACACCGTTCAGTTAACACAGTCGTTCCGTTACGTACCAATCCCATAAATACATAGATACATATTTATTGTAAATACACACATAATATATAAAGAAAACACCTAGACCATTACAAAAGAATCAGTCATGAAACAAATGTTAGCATCGAGCGAGGAATCGAACCCGCGACCATCTGCTATGATGCAAAATAGCTAGACTACTAATATATGAAGTAATTTGGTATATTATTACCGGATAGTATGATGGCTTGTGGGTAGCCAGTGTCGGCCTGGTGCCGTACGGCGTCTAACACCAGCCGCGCCAGCTCGGGCCGCTGCGCACGTGCCTCCGACAACGTGAGCGCGTTGCACGTGTCCGTGTACGCATTCATTGCCACGAGGATCGGGCCGATCATTGTCTGCAAATGATGGATGTGCGTCATAACCATACTGGCATGTACAGTACTTGAAGGTAGTTTCTTTTAATCTTAGATTTAAATTCAAATTCAAAATATCTTTATTCATGTAGGTCTACTACAGACTATTATGATATGTCTAATCTACTGTCAGTTTAGAATGGTTTCAAGAGGAGAAGAACTGACAAGAAACTCACTCTTGTGATGAGACAGCTTTCCGAGTAAGCGGTAGATTTAAAAAAATTTTGACTATTCAAAAGTGCTTAAATTAAGTTTATTTGAATAAATGATTTTCTATTCTATTCTATTCAGCTCGTATTCTTTTCAAATAAATGTTGTACATTTTTACAATAATACAGATTCATTTTTAATAATCTATACATCTATAATAAATAAAATTGGAGTGTCTGTTTGTAATATTGAAACAACTGTTTTTACTACATGCATATTAATATAAATACGGTACATACCCCAAAAAATATTTTAAATTTTACAATTTTTGTCCGTCTGTCCCTCGGTCTGTTAGTTCCGGCTAATCTCTGAAATGGCTGGACCGATTTTAACGGGACTTTTTTTGACAGGTAGCTGACGTAATAAGGAGTAACTTAGGCTACTTTTGTGGTGGTTGTAGCCCACTCATGTATAAACGAAATATCTTCTTTGGAAAGTTTACACTGTAAGAGATAAAAACCATCGCACCTAAGAATATCCTTCAATTCTTGTCCCTGACGGGTCTAGGTAGGGAACTCTGAAAAAGGGCGAGCATAATAGATCTATGTAGGTCGCAATGCTACATGTGCTACAAACATCTGACAATAACTCAAACAACCCAATAAATAATAAACTTTTATTTTAGAAAATTAAAGTTAAATTCCACGCGGACGAAGTCGCGAGAACAACTAGTATAATATATAATAGCGATTAATATACTTTTCATAAATGTTGTTTTCTAAATTAGAACAGCTATATAATAAACTAGTTGACCCGCGCAACTTCGTCTGCGTTTTATTTCCCCATCTTTTGCAATATTTCTCATTGCAGCTCCGCTCCTATTGGTCGTAGCGTAATGTTATATAGCTTAAAGCCTTCCTCGACAAATGGACTATCCAACACAACTATATTTTTTTAATTCGAACCAGTAGTTGCTGAGATTAGCGCGTTCAAACAAACAAACTAAACTCTTAAGTTTTATAGTATAGATGTATAATGGAGCGATAAAGCGTTTAGTTTGTTTGTTTGAACGCGTTAATCTCAGGAACTACTAGTTCGAATTGAAAAATTATATTTATTTTTCAATTGGAACTAATAGTTCCTGAGATTAGCGCGTTCAAACAAACAAACTAAACTCTTCAGCTTTATAGTATAGATGTATAATGGAGCGATAAAGCAAGAAATAGTTAAAACATGAGATCACCCCGATCGTATATTCGGCGGCCATCACAAAAACTGTGATAGCGGCGTGACAGTCGACGGTGGGTGCGCCCGCGCAGGTAGCCTCTACCTGACCGCGAAGCTCGCATGCCTCGTACTATACTTACAACTTGAATGGAATCGTATTGATACACCAGCGACCCAATATCGTACAGGTGCAAATATTGTAGAGATCATTTCATTCATTTCATTCACATAGTTAATTATTTGAGACAAATGAAAATGTCCATGTTTATCTCAGAAAGATCTTGATTAGTTGAGACAAGATGTTGTATGTAGGTACTTTTATTTCTCATTCCGGTTACATTAAAAAGTTGTAACATTTACAGTTGTTATATATACAAACTAGTTTTTGCCCGCGGCTTCGCTCGCGTTAATTTATCCCCTTAGGGGTGGAATTTATCAAAATCCTTTCTTAGGGAATGTCTATGTCATAGTAGCTTTATGCATGCAAAGTCTCAGCCCGGCCGGTTTAAAACTGACAAAGTTTCATACAATCTCACATCCCCTGTTTTATCCTCTTGGAGGTAGAATTAATCAAAATCCTTTCTTAGTGGATGCCTACGTCACAAATCTACCTGCGTGCCAAATTTCAGACCGATCTGTCCAGTGGTTTGGGCTGTGCGTTGATAGATCACTATGTCATTAATAGATCACTATGTAAATCAGTCACCTTTGAGTTATATATATTTAGATGTATAGATTTATATTACAAGAAAATTTATAGTTAGAGATTATTTTCTAATATATATATGTGACGAAAAGGCTCTACCCGGATAAGCATATAAAATTTTCACCAGCGTTTATGAAAGTACTTCCTCTAGAACAGCCATACTATGATTTGGTAGACCTAAAACTCCTTTGTTATATTGACATATTATTTGTATATAAAAAGAGAAAACATATTAATAGAAAGACGACTGCGAATAAAATAGTGTATCCTTATTTGCCCTCTGCATAAATAAAATCCCAATACACGCACGCTTCCATTGCGTTGATATGATTTTCATATCCTAACCCTTCTTGTAAGCGAGTAATTAGGATGGCAATCCTTGACAAAAACATTTCTTTTTCTATGTACCTATTGAAGATAACTTTATGAAAGTTGGAAGCGAATTAATCGAGAAATCTGTGGAGAAGAAAGTGATGTTAATTATGTAAATTAAAGTGGTCATAATCGAATCAATTTACTAATCAGGCGTAGGTAACTATATCTGAGTATTAATAATCCATTTGTATGCAAAAACGCATGCATATTGGTTTAATTATGCCCCTATAGGGCGAGGGATATTTGTGTAATCTAATTAATATTATAAATATATAGTTAACGAAGGCAGTGAGTTTGTTTGCTGTGCTTTCACGCCTGAATGGCTTAACCAATTATCATAAAATTAAGCGTATATGTAGTATTTACAATGGAAAAAGACATAAGCTATTAACTGTCCGCATAGCAATGACTCACGGGTTATACACGAAGTTGAGGAAAGTTGAGGAAAACAGCTAGTACAGTAACAGGTCTTTTTTTGTAAAATTTAGTAATGTACTCTTTACATATAACAAAATTGTACTAAACTGTGCATTAGAAAAGTATAAAGTATGTATTCAAATTCAAAATATCTTTATTCATGTAAGTCTGTTACAGACTCTCATGATATGTCAAATCTACCGTCAGTTCGGAATGATTTCGAGGTGAGAAGAACTGACAAGAAACTCAGCTCGTATTCTTTTCAAATAAATGTTATACATGTTTATAATAATACACATTCATTTGTGAATTCAAATTTGGGTGAATAGAGTGACCACCAGCATATGCTATTGCAAAAGCAAATAGTCTAATCAGTGTTCACAACTCAAACTTATAATATTGTTACAAAAACTAAAGTTTACGATTATTTTCTCTATTGTATCACATCTTGATTGTTTACTTTTAAAGACATTGTTGACGTGTTTGTGTTCAAAGACATTTGACATTATATTGTAAAGTAGAGTAGTTCTTTAGAACTTAAGAATAAGAAAACATAAGATTTAAATTTAGTTGCATCTATTTTAGCTATTTTTTCGCTGCATACGTGAGAAATGTCGCTGATACAGCTAGTTGATTTAGTGTAATAATTAGAAATAAGTTAATTTCATAACTAATTAAGTAAAAGATGCAAGAAATTAGCAACGCTATTGACCCAGATGCATAACAAGAGATGACCATAAATAGTATTTTTACTGCCAGCATCGTCCTATTGTGTTTATAGAACCTGTAGCCTTTGCCGTGGGAATGCACAAGTTAATATTTCGTGATGGTTATATAAACTTTACTATAGTTTCCGTAATTCGACTCGCTCGAAAGTTGTCCGGGGTTCTCACGAGATTCCTAATCAGCAAGTAAATGTTTCATATTATAAAATTTATGCGTCATAATTTCGTATAACGTAACGTTGTGTGATGCGGCTCTGGATTATTCGGAAAAACTGTAAAACGTAATGTCCGTTTGTGTGTAACAACGCAAGTGTTCTCGGAATTTGACAGCAATGTCGAGCAAGAATAAGTTTATTTGCGGACAACGTTATAATTTCTTTTTCATACTGCTTTCTTGAAAGAATTGAAAAAAATTGAAGAATTCGTTAACGATAATAATGTTTTTATAGAAAAACTTTAAATCCATAGCACTGACAATATTATCTGATTACATTAATAATGAGTGCGTAGCGACTTCTATATTGATTATCGCATGCCTCTTACTTGTTATACTATAATTATTTATATAAAAAAAACATCTATTAAAAAGAGCAACACACAAGTTTCTTGCTCATTCTTCTTGTGAATCTGCATTCCGAATGAGTGGTAGAATCAAAATATGACTATTCAAAAGTGCTTGTAATGAGTTTATTTGAATAAAGATTATTTCTATTTCTATTTCTATTTCTTGATATATGATAGCGTAGCGGCTTTTGTATTGATTGCCGCATGCATCCTTATGTAAAGTGCGAATACTGAAACTACCATATAATAATTTTAAGTAGCTGTGATGTGGTCGAGTGGAATGAGTAGTCATGCTCATTAAAATGTCCGGACATGTGGCGGCGTGGTGGGCCGGATCATTGGGCTCCCTAAAATATGGTCAAGCTCAGTGATGACTGGCTCATCCGTCATACTTGTGTACGAGTGCTGCTTGTAGGCACTAGTCTGCTCTTATCACTACGACTCATTTAATCTTATTGTGTTTTTATATTTGACCCTAATAAATTAGTGCTGGTTGGTAGTTTGTATTTACACGTTTCGACTTGTAAAATGTGAACTTCAAGGATTATTTAAAAGAGCAACACACAAGTTTCTTACTCGTTCTTATTGAGATGAGACAGCTTTCCGAATGAGCGGTAGATTAAAAAAAATGTGATGACTATTCAAAAGCGCTTAAATTAAGTTTATTTGAATAAATGATTTTCTATTCTATTTCATTCTGTTCTGTTACTAGCCGTTTTGCCGGCACGGTAAACGTTGTCTCCCATTTCCGTGGGAATTCCGAATTAATTCATCATCATCAGGCCACTGCAGTCCACTGCTGGACATAGGCCTTTCCCAAAGCACGATCACTGGGCACGATCTTCAGCCCTTCTCTTCCAGTTTTTACCCGCAACCTTACGTATGTCGTCGCTCCACCTAGCTGCGGGACGTCCTACACTACGTTTGCCAATTCGCGGTCTCCGCTCTAGAACAGCGAGTATCGGTTCTGCGACAGATATGATCAGCCCTTTCTTTGTGTATGTCTAGATCTAACTTCAAATAACAAACCAGATGGTTAATCTGCACATTGATATAGCATCACGACTAACCAATGACGGAGAAGTAGTCAATACCGTTATTATTATCGACTAGCTGTACACGCGACTTCGTCCGCGTGGAATTTACCTTTATTTTTCTAAAATAAAAGTAGTTTAAGTTACTTTTTATTACATCAGCTATCTGCCAATAAAAATCCCGTCAAAATCGGTCCAGCCATTTCAGAGATTAGCCGGAACAAACAGACATACAGACAGACAGACAAAAATTGTTAAAAATATTATTTTGGTGTATGTACCGTATTTATATTCATATGCACGTAGTAAAAAACGGTTATTTCAGTATTAGGTACAAACAGACACTCCAATTTTATGTATATATATAGACGCGACTCCATCTGCGTGGAATTTAACTTTATTTTTCTAAAATAAAAGTAGTCTAAATTACTTTTTATTACATCAGCTATCTGCCAATAAAAATTCCGTCAAAATCGGTCCAGACATTTCAGAGATTAGCCGGAACAAAAAGACATACAGACAGACAGACAAAAATTGTAAAAAATATTATTTTGGTGTAGGTTGGTGTTAGGTTATTTCAATATTAGGTACAAACAGACACTCCAATTTTATTTATATGTATAGATATTAATAGACTGACAAATAAAAATATTGATCTTATATACCAAATGACAATAGGAAAATGTAAGGTGGGGTGACACAGTTTAGACACGGCAGTGCTTAGTACACAATATTGGATTTGTCTTACTAGACATTATTAAATGCAATTATTATATAGATGTATCTAGGTAACAGTGTCCCATAGAGAATATTCTGACTTAGTGAACCAGTTAAGTTAAAATGCTGCTTGCAGAAGTAATAAAAACTTTACTTACATAAAACTTATTGTGGTAGAACCTGGCCTGTAGTGCTCTAACGACGGCGTCCTCTGTGAGGGGCCCGCGCAGGTGTATGAGATCGTCGACGTCGAGCTGCGCGGCGCCCGCCGACGTGCTGGCTGCAGCGGGGGCTGCTGGCGCGGCCACGGTCGTGGTGCTGTTGTTCCGCCATCTTGCTTCTGTGTCCAACATATAATAGAAGAACATTCTAGAACGTGTAGAATATGGTACTGTACAGTTTTATAAAATTAATAATCTAAAGCAAGCAAATACAGGGGTCTGGCTCAGGTAGGCTCTGAGTATGATTTTGTCCCATTCGAGACCCTTGGTCCATGGAGTTCTAGCGCTATAAGACTTTTCAAGGAAATAACAAAAAGGTTAGTCGATATCACAGAAGACCGAAGAGCTGGCAGCTACCTCGGACAAAGAATTAGTCTAGCCATTCAAAGAAGGAACGCTGCCAGTATCTACGGAACCATGCCTAAAGGGACGCCTTTTAATAATATATTTTAGTTATTATATTATACTAGCTTTTGCCCGAGGCTTCGCTCGCGTTAATTTATCCCCTTAGGGGTGGAATTTATCAAAATCCTTTCTTAGGGGATGCTTACGTCATAGATTTATGCATGCAAAGTCTCAGCCCGATCGGTTTAAAATTGACAAAGTTTCATACAAACTTTCATCCCCTATTTTATCCCCTTGGCGGTAGAGTTAATCAAAATCCTTTCTTAGGGGATGTCTACGTCATAACAGCTACCTGCATGCCAAATTTCAGCCCGATCTGTCCAGTGGTTTAGGCTGTGCGTTGATAGATCACTATGTCAGTCACCTTTGAGTTATATATATATAGAATTTTTAAGGTTTTTAATTTTACGTTCTTATTTGTACAATTAAGTTATCTAAATATGTTTAATAAAATGTCGAAAAGGACACATTACAAAAACAAATAAGCTACATATCTATAGAATAATATACAATCTATATAAATTCTATACAATGCCTATGGCATTGTATAGAATTTACCTGCGTAGTGATTGGGTCGGGTTATATGATTTTATTTGTTCTACAATTTTTTTCTTGTTACTTGATTAATCCTTACATACCTATTGTTTATTAGGGAATCATCTATACTTATAATGAAAACTGCAATCACTAAACATACATCTTTATTGTGTACCCTTAAATATACTTGTACTATATACATATATACAGCTCCCTTTTGATTTCTGTAATATTATATCTTTTTTATTTTATGTTAATATATTTTTGTGCGCCAAAGTTATTTCACCTTTTTAAAATGGACTACAGGCAACGGAACAAACCTAAACAGTTATAATATTGAGACTATATTCAAAGTGGGATATTTAACACCTATATATACAATATTACAACATAATAATGAGAATATAATTATATTAAAAATTACAATAAATTATAATACGATTTATATCAAAAGTTTCTATTATATTAACAGCTGACACACACAGGCACTCGCCATTTTTATTGATCTTTTTTGATGAATTACTAGCTGTGCCCGCGGTTTCACCTGCCTATGTGTTATTCTGATTATAAGCTATATCACTGTAAACTTTCAACACAATCCGTTCAGTAGATTCAGCGTGAAAGAGTAACATACGTCCATCTATACTCAAACTTTCGCGTTTATAATATTATTAGATATAATAAGATTTTCGCATACCATCCAATGGATTGTAATTAAAAATCAGATTGACTGATTTGTTCTCAGGACAAATCACTTCAAAATTTAAATTATCTTTATTCATGTAGGTCTATTACAGACTCTTATGATATGTCAAATCTACCGTCAGCTCGTAATGATTTCGAGATGAGAAGAACTGACAAGAAACTCAGCTCGTATTCTTTTCAAATAAATGTTGTACATGTTTAAAATAATAGATTCATTTAAATTCAAATTCAAATTCAAAATATCTTTATTCATGTAGGTCTATTACAGACTCTTATGATATGTCAAATCTACCGTCAGTCTGGAATGATTTCGAGATGAGAAGAACTGACAAGGAACTCAGCTCGTATTCTTTTCAAATAAACGTTATATATATTTATAACAATACAGATTCATTAAAAATTCAAATTTATAATGAATCTGTACTACACTACTTTGACAGACGAATATATGATACCGATATATATCTTTCTGCATAGTTTTTCCTACTAACCTGGCGGCGGTGGTGGCGGCGACAGTGGATGGTGAGCGGGCGGTGGCGGGTGCGCGGGGGGCGGGTGGTGAGCTGGCGGCTGCAAGTGGGGCGCGCGGGGTGGCACCGCCGGCTGGGGCGCCGGAGCCTTTCCCGCGGGCCCGCCGCCCGCCGCTCCACCAGCACCGGTGCCCGCAGCCGCGCCCACGTGCAAGTGGTTGCGGAGCGTCACCAGCTCCGAGCTGAGGCTCAGCAGCCGCCGCTGGAGGTGCACCGCCTCGTTAGATGACGATGCGTCTACGGAATTATTGATACACGGTTATGTTTGAGTTTTTTGTATGTAATTTGGATGGGAAACACTGATGACTGTTGGGGCGGTGCATTCCAGAATCAGTGCCAGCCCGTGCTCATGGCACCCATGGCGATGTAATTAGAATAGAATAGAAAATGATTTATTCAAATAAACTTAAGTGCTTACTTTTGAATGGTCATTTTAATCTACCGCTCATTCGGAAAGCTGTCTCATCACAAGAAGAACGAGAGAAACTTGCGTGTTACTCTTTTAAATAATTTTATTCTTACTTTACAATTTAAGTTTAAGTGTGTGAATACAAACTACCAATTAGCACTAATTGAATTAAATAATTAATAGGATTAAAACAGTCGCAGTAATTAGAGCAGACCAGTCCCTACAAGTTGCACTCGTTCACGAGTATGATGTATGAGCTAGCCATCACTGCGCTCAACCATATTTTATTTACAAATAGCTGTACTGGCGACTTCGTCCGCCTGGAATTTAACTTTATTTTACTAAAAAAAAGATTTTTTTTATAAATAAAAGTAGGCTAAGTTACTTCTTATTACATCAGTGGAATTGAACTACATTTTTCAGAAAAATATTAAAAATAAATAAAAGTAGGCTAAGTTACTTCTTATTACATGAGCTACCTGGCAATAAAAGTCTCGTCAAAATTCATTTGAGAGATTAGTCGGAACAAACAAACAGACAAACAGACAAAAATTGTAAAAAAATGTTATTTTGGTGTACGTACCGTATTTATATTCATAAGCATGTAGTAAAAAACGGTTATTTCAATATTACAAACAGATACGCTAATTTTATTTATATGTGTAGACTAACGATTTTTGTAGACGAACATTTTTTACAAATTTTTTAGTCTGCCTGTCTGTTTGTTTCGACTAATCTCGGAAATGGCTGGACCGATTTTGACGGCACTTTTATTGGCAGGTAGCTAATGTAATAAGGAGTAACTTAGGCTGCCATTATTTTAGAAAAATAAAGTTAAATTCCACGCGGACGAAGTCGCGTGTACAGCAGTCCAATATAAACAAGGTGATCATTGCGATCATTACTAAGTAATGTATGTAGAAGTAATGGATGTAGAAGAAAATATATTAATTAATTAACAAATACTAGGCAAAATATAATTTCCAACCGTAAACAAAGTGTGTAGTGACAACTGGTTAATTCCGGTTCATCGTCATCATTACATAGTATAAAACAAAGTCGCTGTCGCTGTCTGTCCCTATGTATGATCAAATCTTTAAAACTACGCAACGGATCTTGAAGCGATTTTTTTACTACATAGAGTAATTCAAGAGGAAGAATAGAATAGAAAATCAATTATTCAAATAAACTTAATTTAAGCACTTTCGAATAGTCATAACAATTTGTTTTTTATCTGCCCCCCTCCCTCCGCCCGCCCGCGAGCCTCACCAAATATTTTGAGAGAGCTCTCGTCGTTTCCAATGAAACTGAGCGATCACCTGTGAAAGTTCCCGACAGGAATTTCAGAGTTCTCGCGTGTTTACGACCTACATGACTTGTACGACGAAACCGTGATGAAAATACATGTATATATATATATATATATATAAATAAAATTGGAGTGTCTGTTTGTAATATTGAAATAACCGGTTTTTACTACATGCATATGAATATAAATACGGTACATGCACCAAAATAACATTTTTTTACAATTTTGGTCTGTCTGTCTGTTTGTTTGTTCCGGCTAATCACTGAAATGGCTGGACCGATTTTGACGGGACTTTTAATGGCAGGTAGCTGATGTAATAAAGAGTAACTTAGGCTACTTTAACTTAGAAATATTCTCTAATTAACTTATTGTTAAATACTTCGCGGACGAAGTCGCGGGTACAGCTAGTTGCAAATATAAATTTTAGGGTCATACGATAAAAAAATATTTGAACTGTTTCTATACAGGTTTACTAAAGACTAATCAACTCCATCTAAATAAATTATGAAGATCTCGGTGGTCTAGCGGTCTAGCACACCGCTTTACGACCGATGGGCGCGGGTTCGATTCCTCGCACGGCACAAACATTTGTATTATATTCATGAGTATAATTGTTTGTATCGGTCTGGGTGTTTTCTATGTATAATATGTATGTATTTACGAAAAAAAAATATCTAAGGTACAAGATAACTGATACAATTATCTAGTACCCATAACACAAGCTTTAGCTAGCTTAACTTGGGAATAGATAGCGCTGTGTGAATTGTCCTGAGATTATTATTATAAATCAAATCAAAACAAGAATGATTTATTCATGTAGGACATTTTAGCCGTTGATGAACGTCAAATTTTTTCTTATAATATTTTTTCCTTACCGTTCAGTTCAGTACACAGATTCAATTGAGAGAACTGGCTAGAGAGAACTGGCTAGGAATCGAACAGATTTTTTAAAAGCCAGTTTATTTACAACGTATATTTATATAGGTGTCTATGTCTAACATTATATGAAAATTCAGTGCATGAACAACTATTGCCATGCACGCTCGTCATTCAAGTAATCGTTTAGTGAGTAATAGGCTTTGCTTAGTAAATATGATTTACGGGATGTTTTGAATTTATTTAAGAGCAGTTCCAGTATATCGTTTCATAATATGTATTTATTTATATAAATACATATATATGAAATTATTTAATAAATTATTCAGAAGTTTATTTGTCAATTTTACCAGAAGAACGTATAATTTAGTTTTATATTTTGGAGATTTAACTAAAGATTAAAGTACGTTTTGTTACTATTTTCTACTACCAATATAATTATTCCGAGATTATTCCGGAATTAACTGTAGATAATCCCAAAATCCCGGGATTAGAAAATCGACCGGGATCGATTCCTCTTATACATCATCATTACATAGTATAAAACAAAGTCGCTGTCCCTGTCTGTCCGTCCCTATTTATGCTTAAATCTTTAAAACTACGCAACGGATTTTGAAATGAATTTTTTTAGCAGATAGAGTTATTCAAGAGGAAGGTTTATATATATATAATAATAATAATAATCTCAGGACAATTCACACAGCGCCATCTAGACCCAAGTTAAGCTAGCTAAAGCTTGTGTTATGGGTACTAGATCACTGATACATATACATAGATTTTTTTTTGTAAATACATACATATTATGCATAGAAAACACCCAGACCGATACAAACAATCATACTCATGAATACAAATGTTTGTGCCGTGCGAGGAATCGAACCCGCGACCATCGGGCGTAAAGCGGTGTGCTAGACCGCTAGACCACCGAGGTCGTCAAAGGTATATATGGTTATATATATATATATAATACATGTACAGTAGCTAGTATAATACATATGTAGTAGTTTGTAGCCCTATACATTTGTAAACGCTATGTGAACTTGGGAGCGAATCACCGTGCGAAAGCTTTGTCACGGCGTCCCACGTATGTAATCATAATGCATCTATAGAAAGATATCAACTTCGCCAATAACGGTACAGGCGCTCAGGTAAAGACGGGTTGGTTGGGGCAATGATTACCAAGACAATGGTACAATGGAGTCTTGTGTTGGTAGGAGTAAGTTTTATTTAATTTATTTCGGATATGTATCCATATTATGTTAATATTAGTAATAATCTCAGGAAAATTCACACAGCGCCATCTAGTCCCAAGTTAAGCTAGCTAAAGCTTGAGTTACGGGTACTAGATAACTGATACAAGTACATAGATTTTTTTTTTGTGAACACATACATATTATACATAGAAAACACCTAGACCGAGACAAACAATCGTACTCATGAATACAAATGTTTGTGCCGTGCGAGGAATCGAACCCGCGACCATCGGACGTAAAGCAGTGTGCTAGACCGCTAGATCACCGAGGTCGTCAATTCTATAAAGAAAATACATTCAAAATTGGTAGAAAAATAAACATATAAAAATTTGCAAACTGCTTGCAACACGTATAAAATTTCATCTATTTTCGACACGTGAATTGATATTTGCATATGATGTTTTAAATTTTTATTTTCAATTAATGCAACGTGATTTAATTAATTTGAATTAATATCATCATTGCCTTGCCTTTATCCCATTATTTGTGGTCGGCGCAGTATGTCATTCTCTTCCACTGCTCTCTATCGGCCGTTATATCTGAACATACTCTTCTTTTATTCATATCATCTTTCACACAATCCATCCATCTTTTCTTAGGGCGTCCCCTCCCTTTACATCCATCCACATTCATATTATACACTTTCAATTAATTTGAATTAATAATAGGATTTAAATTAATCACTGCCTTAATATCTATGTTTACCTTGAATGAGTGATTAATTATTTTTATCTAAATATCAACATTCCTAGAATTCTGATAAAATTACATACATTATTTATTTGACGACCTCGGAGGTCTAGCGGTCTAGCATACCGCTTTACGACCGATGGTCGCGGGTTCGATTCCTCGCACGGCACAAACATTTGTATTCATGAGTATGATTGTTTGTATCGGTCTGGGTATTTTCTATGTATAATATGTATGTATTTACGAAAAAAAAAATATATCTATGTATTTGTATCAGTTGTCTAGGACCCATAACACAAGCTTTAGCTAGCTTAACTTGGGTCTAGATGGCGCTGTGTGAATTGTCCTGAGATTATTATTATTATTATTATTTATCTCATCTAAATATATCAACGTAGTGATCTATCAACGCACAGCCTAAACCACTGGACGGAGCGGGCTGAAATTTGGCATGCAGGTAGATGTTATGATGTAGGCATCCGCTAAGAAAGGATTTTGATTAATTCTACCTCCGAGGGGATAAAATAGGAGATGAAAGTTTTTATGAAACTTTGTCAATTTTAAACCGATCGGGCTGAGACTTTACATGTATAAAGCTACTATGACGTAGGCATCCCCTAAGAAGGAATAAAAGGATTTTGATAAATTCTACCCCTAAGGGAATAAAATAGGGGATGAAAGTACAAACTTTCATCCCCTA